ATGACATTGTAAATGTATACGAAGAGATTTCTTGTGAAGTGTGTGGATGACTTTGCATTGTATTGATGAACAAAACGAATACAGGACTGCAATAAATCAGGCTTTAGTTTATATTGCCCCAAAATAAAACAGTAAGCTATGCATTTTCATAAAGGTACCAGTAACGTTGATCCTCGCCTTTTTAGAATCTTAATGGTTGGCAAATATAATCAAGCTTGATTCCTAAGGAGTGACACTTTGACCCGAGGGTACAATGGAACCACACATCAAACTGCTTAAGACAAAGACTACCCAAAGCACTTGGTATTTTATGTATGTTCTCTCTACTATCCTGGGTTGCCTGACTGTACACACTTTCTAGACTATTTAACACTGATAATAAGCTGGACTATGGTGGGGGAAACATGAAGATAACTGATTCACATCCATTCTCCTGCTACTAAACCCTATCGACAATGAAGCACTGACATTTGCACAGGTGCGTTTCGGTCATCACCAATACGTCTTATAGCAGAAAGTGAACATAAGGATAGAATTTCATTGTGATTATATGAAAACTTCATCTATCCTCATAGATTGCAGAGAAACCCTGAATCTCTTGTGTACAAAAAACTATAGAAAAGCAGAAATTTCTTGAATATGCCCTCTGTAAATTCAGAACCTCAACAGAAATATACACTGATGCTCGAATTTTGAAAATGGCGTAGAGATATTCGGCCATAGTAAACGTGGAGGAAGTGTGGGACGCCGCTCCAACAGCATTCTTTCCTGTAGATTATATGCCATCCTTTCTGTGGTCAAAATGATTACATATGTGAAAGTCGCCAATTTGTGATATAAAGCAGTGCAATGAAGTTGAAAAGTAAGAGAAATCTAGGGACTGATGATAATTGTATCGTCACGGAAAAAATTTCGACTTGTGCTTTTTACCAGCTCATGTTGTTATTTTGCGAAATAAGTGCGCATGACAAAAGACCAAAGCTGCTGCTTCCCTTCTCACTGCTTTGGATTCACTTCTTCCACACAGACCTGAAGCCCCAGATCAGAAACCCCCAAGACAGAAGATGAGACACCAATGGAAAATTACATCTAATAAGCTGAGAAATATCGAAGATCTTTTCTGGATCACAAGCTTTAACATGAACAGAATGCTATCATGATATCTGCCAAGAGTGCCAGGAGCCACTAATTATAGCTCCAGATTATAGAAACCTGTAAAATCTATAAGGAAACATGGGTATTAGAGATATTTACAAAACCCCTTTACTTTAAAAGTATCATGTGACATGATTAGGATTCTTTTCATAATCCTTACTTTTAATATAAACTAATATTTCATGAAATAAAAAGCATAAGGTTATAAATATATATATATATAAGTTAATATAACCGAAAATAAAAATGTATATATAATGACAAAGTTGGTGTGACAGAAAACCCCCCCACTCCCCCTCGATTCAGCCACATCATACCCCCCTTCACTTGCGATTATCCCTTCCAAATCCCCCTGATTAAACATGTGACCCCTCTCCCCTTCCTGACATTTTTTCCTAAAACTGGTCTAATTGCCCTGAAACGCCTTTCTCCTTTTGCAAATCGCTACATTACTTTACACTTTGCACATTTATTTTTTGTAACCATTAACCATTTATTTTAAATACCAGAAAAGTGAATATAACTTGTTTAAATTTCCCTGCAGTTTGCCGGATGTACAACCAAACAGTTCTTGTGTCATTGCTGGTTTGTCTGAAGATGATGATCGCCTCTCACTCGGGATAATTTTGCACACTACTGAAAATTGCACCGACCATGAAATTTGTATTACAGACAATCTAGACAAAGCTCCCTGCATGGTACGTAACATCTTGGCATTAATTCTTATTTATGGGTTTACCTAAAGATTCAGCAATGAATGCTACTGCATTGGCGAGGAATACATAATTTATCAATGCTTTGAGATGTCTTATACTTTCTTGTCCAACAGTCCTCATGGGCTGGTGTAATTGCCTGTAAGACCGATTCGGGAACAGGTTCCGTGTGGACAGGTATGGGCATGTGGTCCCATGGGACATGCGATGGGAATAGCAAGCAGCCCATCCGTCATTTGTTATTTACAAAGGAGAACCTAAATACCATCTTCAGAATCTTAGGTGTGTTCCATTCTGTTACATTTTTGGTAATGTATTTCGGCTAATATAGAAAACTAATTAAAATTCATGTTTGTATTATTTATTTCGGATTTTTCCAATTTTAGAAATACGCTTATACCCGCGTTTACATTTCAGCCACCCCGGACGTGAGTATACCAAAAGTACCAGACCTCTGTGAGAGTGACACATGTCCAACGGGTGTCTGTATTGGACAGGAGATGATGTGTGATATGAAGCTTAGACTGCCCTGACCTTGCTGACGAGCTTCCAACCTGCCCTGCACATCTCTCTCTCTGTACCCCTAACAACGAAATGCAAACTTGTGGTAGGAGCTCTTAGTGACCTGATTCTGTGTTTTGGGGGCCCAAGATGTTTTCCCACACAGTTTTTCAACATTAAATTAATCTGCAGTGGATCATCTGCCTGTATCTCTACTTCAGAAGAGCTTGCCAAATGCCTAAATCAATATCATCAACCGATTTAACATTTTCCCTTACATTGACAGTTTGTGAAGATGGAATGATGCAGTGTCCTGACAAGGTTTGCGTTCCTTTCGACAAAGTGTGTGATGGCATCTCACACTGTCTTGACGGTTCTGATGAAGTGAACTGCACATGCATTGAGGTATATATTACGAGAATGGATTTCAAGTCATTGGTAGTGTTCAGAACGACACTGATACTATTCATAATGATACTGATTTAATTTGTTATTCAAAAATAGATGCCTAGCTAAACCCAGAAAAAAATATTTACACTATTTCTACTTCGTTCAGCGGCTGCGACGTGGTGACAGAAGGAAAGTGTGTGATGGAATTATAGACTGCAATGACCAGGAAGATGAGAAATACTGTGGCTGCTCTGAACCCTCAAAATTTCGATGTTACAAGTGAATGCAAATTCTTTAGAATTTTGATGTCAATAAAGAAATACGTGATACTTAATGATGCATAATAGTGTTCATTTGACCCCCAGTATATTCCTAACACTGTAAAATTAACGAAATCGTCTTCAACAGTTCGTCCTCACAGACGTGCATGATGATGAACTCGTGTGTGATGGCAAGAGGGAGTGTGAGAATGGAGAGGATGAAAATCACTGCATAGCTTTGTCACCTTCGGTATTTGTTTCCGAGACGGTTCTAGGGTAAGTTTAGTACAAATTCTTGTTACATTTTGTGAATATACACCCATTTGCTATAACACCAAAGGCTTACTACACCTACAGTGTTCCACAACGGAGTCGTGAAGGGTTTCTTCTGTTGCGGATGAGAGGACGCTGGTTTACATACAGCAGCAAACACTGGTCAAAGAACACCTACCTATCTGGCCATTTATGCCAGAATCTTGGCTACCCTAATGTCATCGCCACACTCAGCCGCTCTCTCAGCATGGAACAAGTGATCAAAATAAGCAAGGAATTTGCCAGTTCTACTGATCCAGACATAACCAAATTTGACACCAGTCGGCTGCTACCTAGTGAGGAGAAAGATAGCACATCAGTCGTGTATGTTGTCTGCCTTGAAGAGGACTAAAAAAAATAACATTTTTAGCACAGTAGAAGAAAGCGTAAATATTCATTTTAAAGTTTATCTGTTTGAAAGCTTTTATATTTTTTTGTAGAGTACATTGTAACCTAATGTTGTTTTATAGCAAATTTTATTAAATATTTTATATACAAGACGTTGATATCCTTTCATGTCTTGCAGGATTATCATTTTTTTCCAATTGATAATGAAAATCTTGGCTACAGGAAATATTACCCTTAATTTACATTAATTTGATTGATATGAATTGTAGTATTGGATCTGCTTTTCGTAATGAGAAAACATACTGGGCTGGCTTGAAGGCAGAGAGGAGAGGAGCAGAAGGCACCTAGGGCTAAACGAAGGCCACAGTGGTGGATTGTATCAAGATGGGCAAGGAGAAAGGTTGAGGCAAGAGGGTCAAGGTAACAAGAAGATAGTTTTCCGATCTGAACCCCAGGATATATGGGATAGTTTGTAAGGTTTGGAGGCAGCAGCGAGGTTTTCCTTCAATACAAAGAATTTGCCAGAGTGACGGTATTGGAGTGGAGTTTCATATACGATGAGTGGAGGTATGGGACCTACATGTGTGTGAGAGAAAAGGATGGAGAAAGATTTGGAGGTAGAAAAGCGGAAGCCATGGTTTGTGGCCCAGGAAGATACTGCTGATATTGCAGACTGAAGGAATTGGCAGAGATTTGGTATAGATGTGCTAGAGGTGTAAATGGTTTAATCCTCAACAAATAGTGTTGACCGGGCTATTGGTGGTAGAATTGAGACAATGTCATTAACAGCAAGAAGGAATAAAGGGGTACTGAGCACACTGCCTTGTGAGACTCCTTCGAATTGAGGAAAGGATGATGTAGATGAGGCAATTTTGACCTGGAAAGTCTTTCCTCTCTAAATGCATGTTTCCGTGTATGATGGAGAATATGGTACCGCCATGTAGTATCGTATCAGTTATATATATATATATATATGCTTCTTCTAGGTCAAAGAATATGCCTAATATGGCATGCAAATGCAGATGTAATGTCTCAAAATGAACAAGGGGGCCAGCTGTGCTAAATTGGGAAGGAGAGATAAGATTGTGATATTCAACATACCACATTAAGCGGAAGTTAACCATTCACTCTAGTAGTTTGCACAAGCAGCTAGTTAGAGCGAAGGAAGGGTACCTGATTTATTGGGTTTCAGGAAGGGAAGGATAAGAGCTTCTCGCCAATGAGAATGAAAATTTTCTGATGTCCATACGTGGTTGAAAATTGTTAATAGGAAGGATAGGGAGGAGGATGGGAGTTGCCTGGGCATACGGTAGTGAATACCGTCAGGGCCTTCATGACTGTTGCGGCACGATTGTAAGGCAGCATTGAGTTCAGAGGAAGAAAAAGAAGCATTATATGACTCAGCAGAGGATAGGGTGAAGATAAAAGGGGTACGTTCCCTGATGGTCATAATACAAGTGAGGTGTGGAGAAAGGTGAGAACCACTACTGACCTAGCTGAAATAATCACCCAGTTAATTGGTGACTTGGAGAGGATCAGAGATGAGGGTATCTCGAATATGGAGGACGGGAGCTGGATGGGGGGATGTTTGCCTGATAGTTTATGGATCTGGCGCCAAACAGATGTGATAGATGTGGAAGATGTAATTGAGGAAATAATTTTGCCAGCTATTTGTTTTACTGTTCCGGATTGTACAACGAAGACAGGCAGATGCTCTTTTAAAGGAGATAAGGGCTGATAGTTGATTAGGGGTGCCTCGTTTATAGCTATAACACGTTTTAAGCAAAGCGCTTTAGTGCAGTCGGAATTCCACCATAGAACATATTTGGAGGTATAGGGTCTTGAGGCTTAAGGACTAGCTGTATGGGCAGCTCTTAGGACTGTAGTTGTGAAACATTGTATAACATCTGAAATGAACAAGAAGGAAGATAGAGGAGTAGGAATAGCAGTGTGTGAAGTGAAAGTACGCTAGTCGGCTCTATCAGAGCATCGGGCAGTGGTACATATGAAGTAGAAGAAAGAACTGGAAAGTGGTCACTATAGGTAAAGTTGTCTAGTACTGATCATTGGAAATCTAAATGAAGAGAAGGGGAACATGGAAAGAGGTCAATGCATAAAAAGATTGGGTGCGTATATCAAAGTGTGGGGTGATCTGAATTAAGATAATAAGCGCTCTGGAGATCGGCCACGGGAGTTGGTGATAAAATCACCCCAAAGAGTGTCAGCAGTTCAACCACCTTTCCTTATAGCTTATGATTTAGAGTTGGGAAATTAGAGTTTCAAAGGTAACAGTCAATGGTGTGGGAAGGGGAGAAGTAGACAGTTATTCGCATCATGGTTTGAAAGGGAGGTATGACATAAGGTGTTTTCTGGTTGATAAGTATGGACGAGACATAAAGGGAGTGTGGGGAAGAGACAAAATGGTAATTGGGGATTGGTATTGGAGGATGTGTAAGAAAGGTCTCTTGAAGGCATACAATGGATGGGTTATAAGTAGGGTTGTGACAATATGCTCTAACGAATATGCATTATATGCGCTAAAAAATATGCAATTTATGCTGTAAAAATATGCTGTTATGCATTAAAAGTATGCGTTTATGCACTAAAAGTATGCGTTTATTCCATAAAATATGCAGTTAATGCACCATAAGCCAATTTCAAAATCTGATATTATTGAGATGTTTTGGTAGTGGGATTAGGTTAGAAAATGAAACAAGTGGTCACCAACAGTGTAATAGTACATTTTTCAATAAATAAACTAAAGTAAACAACAAAATACCCGCAACCGTCAAATTAACAAATAATTATGTGAGCATTTTCACACAAGAGAATTACATTTCACAATTAGGTGACACTTCAAATTTTCAAAATCAAATCGCCGCCTATTATCGGCCAGAACAGTTTTATACTGTGAGAAAAATCTTCTACATCACATGAAACAACAGGAGCGTATTTAAAATATGAAATGACATCTGTGAATCTGGCAATGGGATCCGGTAAGACCCGGGTCTTACCTGATAAGATCGGACTCTATATCCTTCAATGAACTGAAGCCAGAATATTTTTTCAAAACATTAGAAAGTTTTTCAATATAAGCTTTATCATACAGCCTATTTAAATCTTTCTGGACATCATCAATTAAATTTATTGAAGCAGACAGAGTCAGACCTTTTGTTTCTAACTTTTTGAGTGCACTACAGAGACCCTCAAAGAAGTGGCAATGAAACACAAGCTAGTTTTCCAATTCGATATTGTCCAGCAGCTCCTGGCTTTCTGCTATTTGCACAGACTCTGAAGTATCAAGTGACATTATTACTTCCGATACATTATCGTAATATCTGTTAAAATAACTGATAGCCTCGATCCATGTTCCCCATCTTGTTATTACGGGTGATGGAGGAAGAGGTACACCAGGAGCCAGTTCTTGGAATTTCCGCAATCTGGACGGTGCTTTAACAAATATGCTTTTGACTGATGAAATGAACTTATTGACTAAAGGGTAATTTGAACGAACTAACTCAGCAACTCGATGCAACCCATGAGCCAAGCAAGTTACATGGATCATATTGCTGTACAAAACTTGTAATGCTCTCATCGCTTTGCACATATAAGCTGCAGCATCAGTGACTACCAGCATAACGTTTTCATACAGAATGTGCTCCGGCCATATTTTTATTAAAGAATCGTTGAAAAAAGCTGCCACTGTTGAATGATTAACCTTTTCTAGAATGGAAACATTCCCAAGGTACGATTTACCTACTTCGGTTTCATCGCCTAGGATACCGAAAATAAAGCATACGATATACCTTTGCTCAACATCGGTGGTCTCATCCAACGACACCCAGATCTTCCGACCAGCAGCTTTTTGTCTCAGTATTGCGATGGTTTTGTCGCACAAGGAAGAGACATAATATTTTCTTAAAGTTGTTTGGTTAGGTATGTTGTGCCCAGTATAGGTTGATAAGAAATGTTTAAATATGGTGTTACTCAACTTGTTTAGTGGAATGTCTGCAGACAACATAGCATAGCAAAGATCACTGTTAAATTTATTTTTGTTTAGTCCTTATTATTGGAGGTGGATTGGCCAGCTCAGCACCAGCACCAGCTTCTTCGGTGATCTTGTTTTGGTTTTTTTTCATGCGCGTTGGTTTTCAAATGCTGCACTGCATAAAACTTTCTTGAAACTGGAATCTAAGAAATATTTATTACTTACGTATCACAATGAGAGTTTCAAATCCTAATAATGATTTCCCAATAAGTTTGAGCCTAAAAATAGTAGTTATGGGACAAAAACATTTTAACGAATCCGATTCTACACTATTATTGC